TGTGGATGAACAGATGGGTGGATGGACAGACAGATGGATGGATGATGTATGGATGAATGGATCATGGATGATGGATGGGTAAAGGGATGTATGGATAGATAAATGTATGGATGGACAGACAGATGGATGAATGGATGATGGATGGATGATATAGGCTTGAAATAAATTCAGTCTCTTGTGAAAATTTCACAACAAAGCACAGTGACAGAAAGCAGACAGACTGTTGCTATGGTTACTGAACCAATCAGCACCCGGGATACAGAGCCCAATGCTCTGGTTGGTCACCTTCCATCAATCAGCCAATCATGTGTCGTTTACAATGTTACGTTGAAAACCCGCAACGAATGTCGAACCACATAATAGCAAGGGACTACTGTAGTCCTAAAGAAAAGTTGTTCTGAAAAGGATTTTGAAAAACAAAGGATGGAAAACACTGATAAACAGTAGCCTACTCAAAAAATAGAAGGAATTCACAATAATCTTATTATTGTTTATACATCCAAATCATGATTACCATTCAGTCAGTCATGAAATAGGCAATTCAAGTATTTTGGCTTGAAGACTAGACATTTACCACTGAGGATGTGACAACATCCACCTGTATAGATCTTCTTGTACTTTGACTGGTCTTTCCCACCAATGTAGGTGCATTCCATCCCCAACAGACTGAGTATAAACCCCAACATGCCCACGGAAAGAGCTCCCATCAGCAGGCCTCGCACTATTTGAATGTGGCCTGGAATCACACGAAAAGACAGGAAGGCTATTCTAAAAGCATGTTTCCAAAACATGGGAGACAGCTTGAAATACGCCAGTACATGTTGACATACCCTCCACAGACCAGAGCACGGGGAAATTGTAGCAATTGGTGACAGCGGTTGAATCTGTAAAACAAGATTTCCACAAGCTGGACCAGTGCCAGGCCACCTTGATGATGGATGAGCCCCCCATACCGCCAACGGGAGAGATCTTCCAGCCCTCCATGGCCATAGTGCAGGCCACAAAGATCCAGCCCAACACGGTCATCAAGAATCCCCAAATCTGAACCACTCTGATCTTCATCTTTGGAACTCTCTGTGAGCGACGTTGTCTCTCGGAGCTCTTAGTGTCTCAGACTTCTCTATTCTTGTAAGCTTTTCCACAAATCGGTTTGGTTGATAATCCTTTTCCCGAATGTTGGTCCTTCAACAATGCTGAGATATTTATCCTGCACGTCAGCTTCCATCCAAAGTCCAACAGAGGTCCAACTGCTCATCAGTTCTTCATAGACAGTGGAGAACCAAGCAGATTGATTCAAAGCAGTTGAGTTGAACTGGTTTCTAGGTATTTTATTACGTACTGGTGAGAGACGACAGCCACTCTGGTTCCCATGAGTCACCGCTAAGACTTATCAGATTTGAATCTTGACTGAGGCTGCTTAGCCAAGCAAATGTCTCGTATTACTCAAGGACTTGGTGCAACCAATCTACAATTTCTCCAGTATGCATAAAGTTCACGAAGAGATGCATGAGCTCGAAGTATCAGAATGTCTCTTCTTAACTTTTCAATTTAGTTCTGACTTATTCAACTTGATTTTGAACTTGGTTTGAGTCAGTGCAGCAGTCATAAAGCAGATCTTGACTTCCAAATATGTAATATTATCTAAAATGGCAAAGTACTATTAAATGAAAATGCTTTAGCTGCTTTAGCTCTAGATCAGATTTATAAAACCCAGTGTTTTACATTTTCATCAGCTATCCTTTGTCCGTCCGTGCATGTTGCGAGCATAATACCTTAAAAAATAAATGAAGTACTGACTTCCATTTTGGTGTGTGGCTATATCTAGACACAAGGAAGCTTCGTTTCGAAAATTGGATTGCCAGGTCAAAATCCAAGATGGCTGCTGCCATATGTGTATATGTAAACCCTGTGAGTTGGATAATTTGAAAAATAAGCAATGTATCAATTTCTATTTTGGTATGTGGCTACATCTAGACATAAGAAATGTACCTTTTGAAAATTGGGTTGCCAGGTCAAAATCCAATCCAGAAAGACACTTACCGGTATCTTATAAATTACAAACATTCACTGTTCAAATTCCTCATTGGCAGGAGACATTTGCTTGTTTTTACTTCCCTAGGAGCGTAGGAAATATTAGCATTCTTCTTTTTTATTTGCTAAATATTAGCATCTAAACATATTGGCTTTAGCATTAAACTTATTGAACTTTTAGCACTACAAGTTTTAAAAGCTTACCAAGCCTAACTAATGCTGAATAAATACTGAGCCTGATTTTTTTTCATATTTTATCCTGTAAATCCCTTTCATGCAACAATCAGCTTGTGTTGAAACTCATCACAGTGTTCTCTGAGGTAGACATCACTGGATAACGGCTGTAGGGAACTTTTTGATGACTCAAAATCGGTAAAAGTTGGATAGATTTTTAGTTCTGGCCTCACTGAACTCTTCAGTCTTTGAGACGAAGTGGACAGAGAACCGTGCAGTTTGTGATTTGAGCTGCCAGTTTTTGAAAATCTAAAACTCAGCTTTGTAAAAGTAAAGGTGCCGACTTTTAATTTGCATTACAAACATGGACATTAAAGAAAACATCTTTGTTTTGGGCTTGCTTGTGTGCAGTTCATGTAAACTGGCAATAGGTGGAACTATGACTCCAGTTACCAGTCCATAATAATCATGCTTTAAGGCAGGGATGTCCAACTTTATTATGCAAGGGGGCCAAAATTAGAAACTTGGTCCAAACCAAGAACCAGCCACTATATAAATAAAAAAAATATAAATAAACATCTCAATTTCTCTGAAACTCCCTCAACATATGGAATGACCACTGGTCTGGGTTCCTCCTTTTCACCTGATGGCTGACTGGAGTCCTGTTTGGGTTTCTTCTCTGCTTTCAGGAAGGCCCAGTTAGGATATCCACATTGCTCTAGAGCCTGTCTTGTGTGGGATTTCTCCTTCTGCCTGGCTCCTGAGCTAGTGGGGACGCTGTCTGCTCTGTGGTA